CAGGATATAATTCAAGATTTGGACTTTAAAACAAGTACAAGATCATATTTCTAGCATTTATAGTTGACGAGTTTTAGCTGTTCAAAGGTAACCAATTACACTTGTATTTCTTTTATTGCTCACTATATAATATTATTTGATTTAGTTGTTAACATGCTAACTATTATCTGCAATGCTAATATGTAAGGTTATAATACGATTATTTTTCCCTATTTTTCTTTTAAATAACAAATCTGCAAAAAGTTAGAAGAAGTTAATTATCTTTCCTAATGCTAATTTGACAAAAAAAATAGGAAGATTAAGACTGATATTAAATATAATAACCAAAATAATCATATTCACTAAGTAAAAAAAATTTCTAAACCTTTTTAACACATTCATTTAAGAGTTAAAAAAATTAAAAAATATTGTTATTATTATAGTATTTATCTTATTTATACTTCACTTTCTGAAATACCTTTATTAACTCACTAAAAAACCTTAGAAAAAAGCAAGATGATAAAGTTATTCTTTTTATTAGTTAGTAATTTATTCCTATTACTACTTTAAAAAGTATAAAATAAAGTTTATAGACAGATAGTAAAAATATTATGATAACTTTACAAGAATATTTAGACTAAAAATATCTGACTAAAAAAGATAAAGAAAAGGTAAGAAAGATTAATATTTATAAATATAAAATTGATGCAGAGAGAGAGAGAGAAAGCAAATTAGAAGGCAAAGAGTTAGATCTAAAAAAGTTTAAGAATTTGAAAATAGTAGATATTAAGACAAATTTTTTAAAAACTCCTTTAACTAAACTAGAAGTTAGTGGATTGGTTAATTTAAAAAATCTTAGCTGTGCCAATAGTAATTTAACCTAAGTAGATTTTATAAATAATCTTCTAAATCTGAAAAAATTAGAAGTTTTATTTATTTATAGCAATAATATTAAACCCATGAATATAGAAATATTTAGTAAGTTTATTAATTTAGTTTATTTAAAAATAAGAACTACAGAAGTTACTTTACAAAATAATAAACACAACAAGTTCTATAGATCTCTAAAATCTTACCAAAATCTAACTAAATTAGAATCTATCTGCATAGAAGCAATCAATGTAAATACTGGTTTAGAATATTTACTGAAGAGTTTAGTAGAGACAACCAAAGATAGTTGAGATATTAAGCTCTAGAAACAAAATCCTTCAAGAAAAATATTTTGTAAATGAATTCCTTTAAGAAAATTACTTTGAAAATATTTCTTTCAAAGAGAATCATTCTGAAAATTTTCTCTCAATGGGAATCATTTTGGAAATATTTCTCTTAAAAAGAATTATTCCAGAAACATTTCTTTTAAAGAGAATTATCTCAGAAATATTTCTCTTACAAGGAATCATTTGAAAATGTTTCTCTCGAATAAAATCATTTCAGAAATGTTTCTTTCAAAAGGAAATCATTTTGAAAACATTTCTCTTAATAGAAAATATTTTTCTTAATGGAATTTCATTTTGAGATATTTAATATAAGCTGAACGAGCTGACTTACAAACTGGCTTGACTTAGCTTAACTTATCGATTAATCTTTTAAGCTGAGCTGAGCTGAGTCAAAAAAAAAGTAGTACAACTCGAATCAGTGGTAAACTAAACCAAGCTGGCTTATGTAAAACTTTAATCTTAACTGATATATTAAAAAGTTATGGAAAGAAATTCTGAAACATATTATTAAAAAACTAATCAATAGTATACTACAATGAACTTAAGCTATGATTATAACAAATAGTAATCTAATTAAGTACTATTTAATTAGTATAAAATGTAGATTTTAATCAACTTTAAAATAAAATATTAGTTGATCTTTTTAAATAATTTATATTAAGTGAAAAAGTATACAGAACTTTGTCTACTTTTGTAAAAAGAAATAAAAAAATTTCTCTATATTATAGAAATATTACTATTTTTAACTTTTTACTAATTTTTTAATTTTGAATTTTTAAAAATAAATTCTTAAAATAAAATATTTAATATTATAATAAACAAAAATTAATAACAAATTCTTTATTTTTAAATTTTATTTAGCTTTTAATAATAGAAGATTTAATTCTTATATATATAATAATCACTTATATAAAATATGCAAAAATTTAAACTTATAAATACAATATTATAGATTTATTTTTTATATATATTTAGTATTACTAGAATCATTATAAAGGTTAAAATTTTATAAAAACTACTATTATAAGTAAAAATAATTCATTTCTTATAAATATATAATATTATATATAGTTTTATTGATTTATTGATAAAATTTTTCAATTTATAAATATTTAAGTTAGCTTTAATTTCTAATATAAACTATAAAAATCTTGATTATTAAACAGTTTAAAGATCTGAGTATATAAGTATTAACTTTGTATATTAGCCCAAATTATAAAAATAAATATAGCATTTGAAAATCTATTATACTTTATTTGAGTTGCAATAACTAGTTATAATCTTAAAGTAACTCTTTAAAACTTTTTGCTCTTCTGAATTATCTAAAATTACTTCGAGTTTAGGAAAAGTTCAATTATCTGCCGATCGTTGCCTATTAAAGTTAAGATTGCGCCACATAAGTTTTACAATTAAAAATGTTTTAGGTAACAAAACACTAAAAATCAATGAAGTTAAAACCTCTCCAAACATCCCCAAGAAATAAAAAAGTGTTATTTCTTAATCATCCAGTGCTACAAAGATTTATTAATCAAATCAATTATCACAATTATTTCTTATAGAATGCATAAAAGAATTTTTATTTGAATAAATGTAAATTTTATTATAATCGGAGCCTTATTTTCTCTGTTAGAAATGTGATTATTTTAGCGAAATCAATTTTTTGTTAATTTGAAATCGGTTCATAAGTCACTTACTATATGAATATATACTTATTAAATATGCTTTTTTTAATAATTAAAAAATTTACTTACTGCATAATTTGCATAATTTATATTTTATACAAGGAAAGAAGGCTATTAAAAAATTTTTGTTATAAACGTGTATAAATAATTGGTGAAATTATATTATAAAATATAACTTTATATAATTATGATTGATGCGTCTTGTCAAGGGATCCCCTGCTTTTGAAGTAAAAACTAAAAATCTGAAACAAATAGCTTGCATTGATCACTTTTGATGTTTTATAGAGAAAAATTTTTTAATTATAAGAACATGATTAAAGTACATTTTAGGATTTGTGAATTGTGAAACGAGGCGTTTTTGTCTTCTTTTTTGAAAATTGATGGATAATTATTTCTTTGAGAAAACATTTTGATATTACATAAGTACTGACTGTGTTTCAAAATCCTTAATTTTTGCTTTGTGTTTAGAAAAGTCCAACAAGAGAAGGTATTGGAATCGGCGTTTTTTTTTTAATCCGGAATCATTTTACATTAAAAATTCATGGATCGGGTGTTTGAGATGATTGTAAAACTCGAAAAAAATAGCTTTAACCGCTGTATCCGATGGTTGAACATCCCTAAGTATAGTTAATGTCTAACGTCTTTTTTTCTTTTATTTTTTTTTTTTAAATAAAAAAGGTGTGTATTATATAATGCATGTTATCTGGTTAATTAAAAAATAAGTTCTTTGTTAACGCATCTTTAGGTATAAATATGGCATGTTATCCCATCTTTTTCAACACTCTTCCTTCAATTTTCGTATAAAAAAAAAAATGTCTTTAGGTAATATTTTATATCTAAATACTTATACGCCTATTAATTTTAATCGGGTTATTCTTCGAATACGTCGCCAAAGGAACGTTTTTACAAGAATTCGACAACGAAATGTTGGAGGTGTATCTATCAATAATGATGAGACCTTGAATCTCATTGCGCAGTTACCGTTACAGGAGATTGACGAAACCGACGATTCATTTGCAAGTCAACTTTTTCTTGGCTCGACTTTTCCATGATCAATCAAGTTTTTTTTTTTTTTTCCAATATAAAATTAAAATTTTTTTTATTTATTATATGTTAATGTATATCCACTTATAGTAAGAAAATATTACCCCTTTTTCTGGACAAAAAATTCCGGCTAAGCATCCCTGTTTATAGAAAGCTCTTTCCTTTTTAATAGAAATCTGGACGATTTTTTTTTTTCAATCTATTTAATCATCTGATATAATCATTTACATTTTATCTGAGTTTTAAAAATAAAAAAATAAATAAATATTGAATATCAGTATAATTGTTGAAATTATTGCTGCTTTGTTTTCTTTCAAACTTCCCGTCTTCTCCACTTCTTTTTTGCAACATTTTCTACATTATGAGTTATCAAATAATGGTATTTGCGATATTTGAACATTACTTTGGAATGAGCCGTCCGGCATTATTTAGCATTACAAAGAGGTTTTTTGCTTAAACACGTTTGCAGGCATGCTCTTTCGAATGTATCAAAGATCTAAAATTTATGGAATTGCATAACGCAGTATATTGTTTTATGATAATTACAGACTCGACTGATTCAAAAACTTAATAACGGATTTTTTTTTCTTGAATGCTTTTAAATTGAATTACGTTTGAAAAGGTATATTATTTCACAAAATGTAGGAATTTTCTCGTTTTACAGATTTGAAAATTATTTTATTTCCCTTCAAGAAGTGGTATTCTTTAATTTCATGCTTTTTATAAAATATTAGCTATCAAAAAGTTTGAAGTATCTTTACAAAGAAGATTTTGGATTTCAATACAATGATTCTGGCATCAGGATCGTTTTGAGATTGTAAATTAATTTTGTCTTTGAATAATTTGGATTATTATTGTTCAAATAGTAAAGTTTGAATGATCATTCATATGTATATGTTAATCTTATTTGGGGGGCTCTTTAAATTTTTACCTAAATTGAAAAAAAGATCTGCTCGGGCTTCGAATTCCATATTCTTCATTGTAAAAATTTAATATATATATACACATTCGAAACCTTCAAACTCAAAAATTAAAAATTAAAAATTAAAAATTCAAATATAATTTTATTCTTGTAAAAATGTCTAATTCGTTCAATGCGACAAACGATATTATCTTAGCATCTGCTCTCACATCTTTGTTAGGTACACCGGTTATAACTCAACTCGATAAGAACTTGAATGAAAATATGAATTATCAAACTATAAACCCATTCTCTCTTCATAATTCTCAGTTGGTTGGAAGTTTACCCAATGATGATGACCTTCTCTCATGTAATTTCTCACCTGAGACCGGAAATTTTAATCAAGGATTCATTCCCGCTTCTCAATCTAATATACGTTCTTCTTTGCGATCTCCTCGTACTTATACGTTAAGATATGCCCCGTACGTTCCTCCTGTTACAAGAACGAACAATTTGCAACAAATTCCACTACAAAATCCTCAACGATCACAAAATCCTCAAGTACAACAAATTCGAATGAAAATTCCTCAAATTCAACAAATTCAGACGCAAATTCCTATTCAGCCACAAATTCCTCAAGTACAACAAATTCGAATGAAAATTCCTCGAATTCAACAAATTCAAACTCAAATTCCTCAAGATCATCAAATTCCTCAGATGCCAATTCCTCAAATTCAACAAATTCAACAAATACAAACGCAAGATCAACTAAATCCTCAACGAATTCAGATGCCAATTCCTCAAATTCAACAAATTCAACAAATACAAACGCAAGATCAACAAAATCCTCAACAATTTCAACAAATTCAGATGCCAATTCCTCAAAATCCTCAAATTCAACAAATTTATCCACAAATTCCTCAAGTACAACAAATTCGAATGCAAATTCCTCGAATTCCTCAAAATTCTCAACAAATCCAATCACAAATTCCTAAATTGCAACCAAATCCCCATCAAATTCAACAAATTCAGTCGCAAATTTCTCAGATTCCTCAAATTCAACAAATTTCTCAAGGGGTTCAATATCAATTTCCTCAACCATCACCTGTTATAAATATTAATGTCAATACATTATCCGGACAAATTTTCACAATTGCCGACGTACCAATCATGTCATCAATTTCAGAGATAAAAATTTGTATTGAAAACAAAACCAGGATCCCAAGGAATCAACAAAAATTAACATATTTAGGAGTTCGCTTGGAGAATGATAATTTAACATTACGAGATTATCAAATATTAGATAATAATGCAAACATATATCTGATCGGGGATAATGGGAAAGTAATTAATTTTATAGATTCCAATTTTCTTGATCCCAAGTTTGATTATGATTTTACAAACATAAAGGATGACAAACTATTTATGAGAGGGTCGCATGTATATCGAAGACCATGCGGATGGAAACGAATAGCGATTAGAGTATTAAATAAGTATGGGCCCGATAATAGTTGGTTAGGTCAAGTCAAAAACGATTCATGGCGTTACGAATCCGATTCATCGGAATGGCCAGTATCTTATCATGGTACCAATAGATTTAATGCCAAATCAATCGCCGAAACCGGGTTTGATATTACAAAAGGAAGACGGTTTCGATTTGGTTATGGGATTTATTCCACACCAGATATCAACGTTGCTTATTTGTTTGCTAGTAGATTTGTTCATAATAATGAAATTTATTGTCTGGTTTTTCAAAATAGGGTGAATCCGATGACTTTAAAAAAGACCATTACCTCATATGGCGAATATTGGATAAGTCCAAAGAGTGATGATATTAGACCTTATGGTATTTGTATAAAAAAACTTGAAACTATTCGTAATTGACAGAAATTTAGTGAAACGATCTATTTTAAGAGTAACTATCATATTATAATTTTTAATTATTCTGTTTATATTATTAAATAAATTTTTATTTTAAAAAAAAACCCCTTAAATGTGATAGTGTTTTTGATATAACTAAATAATCGTCACATTAAATTTTATATTAAAGTTTTTTAAAGTAAGGAAAATCAAAAATAAAAGTACAAAGTATTTAAACATTTCATTTATTATTTTCCATTTGTGAAAATTGCTGATCTCTTTCAAATTAATATATATTTAATATATATAAATTAGAATTGTTATTTAATGCATTCTGCATGATGCATATGTACCTCATGTGCAATAAACAATTGCGAATCTGATTCATCATGGTCCAAATCTAGTTAAATTGAACCTAACATATAAACTTGATTTAACTTCTTTTTTTGGTTTTTCTTTCGATTGTTTCAAATTAGTGCTCGGATATCCAATCCATATTGATGTTCACTTTCAGGAGGTCAATTGTTGTAAACTCCTCTAATTTATAAGACACAGTAAATTTACTTTTTTTTTTTTTCTCGAATAATCAAATTTAGTTTACAATCCATATTATCTGACTGAATTCTGTACCAGCCATTGAAACCTTGCTGAATTTACCATTCCAATGTAATATCATTTTTTGTAAAATGCGAATTTCAACTCTGATAAGTTTGGAAGTCTTTTCTTTCTTTGCATTGTAAATAATAAAAAAGTTAAATAAGTATATTCCCATTATTGATGCAAAATTAACTTTAAATCCTCTTTAATACAAAGTTGTCAATTCTCATTAACAAAAATTGGTACATGTTTTATTTGAATTAACATGAAATTTTTCGTTACGCAGTAGTTTGATATGCGTGTTGTATGAAATTTAAAATATAAAGTTAAATTGGCTTTTTTCTTTAAAATATTGTATGTAAATAATACCTTTATAATGAACTTGAAATTGGTCCGTTTCATTTATCTGAAGAGCTGCATTTATTCAATCTAGTGACGAACGAAATCTGTTTAACAAATCGGTTTCTACTAAAACCTATTCATAAGTTTTTTTGTCAATACATTCATTTTAGATCTCTTGAATTTTTGCTTCTTGTAACAACTTAGGCAATCTGAAATGTTTACCTATTCATTGTATTAAGTTTAAAATTAATAAGAAAAAATTTTATCTTTTGAAAAATAATTGTCCGAAGCTTAAGCGTAGGACATTAACGGTTAGACCTGAAAGTATGCATTTGGTGTCTTTCCCCGCACGTGATCTACCAAATAAGTATTGTATTACGGTTGATCAAATATCAACTATTTGTATTTGTTTATATAGTGATTATAATAATAATTATTTTTACAAAATATAAAAATTTTAATACATATAATTATAATAATATTATAAGTCATAAGATTTGTTTAACCAGCCGAAATTTATTGACCTGGTTAACTAAAGACTGACCTATATATATTTTATTATTTGGTTAAACAATATTTTAACAGACTAATACAATACTATTTTGTAATGATAATACAAGCTATATTTAATTTTCAAGATTTGGGTAAACATTAAAGAATTTTGAATTATATTTCAAAAAAAGAATATCATGAATCTAATCTATTATGTTTTTCTATAATTAATTTACTAGCATCTGAAAATAATCTTTTAGAAGAGATGAAGCAAAAATTGCAAAATATTTTCAGGCTTATCTTGCATGTAAAAGTAATGTATTTTATGTAATTTCTACCATTTAAG